GGGCACGAACCCGTGTCCCCTGCATCGGCAGGCGGACTCGCAACCACTGCGTCACCAGGGAAGCCCCAGGACAATTTTTTAAAAATACATTTAACTATAACACATGCACCTATAAAGATGCTTGTGTGTGGTGCCTGATCGCTCACCTTCGACTGGTGTCAGTTATTTGCTGACTAGAGCAGAGGAGCAGGAGATAACGATAGCTTTAATTCAGGACCGTTACCTAAAACACCCTGTCATCAAACCTGTTATCTTTCCTGGGAGCCCCTCGGTTTTCAGCCTTCAAGTTAGTAGGGCTTACAGCTGGTGTGGCTTCCCTTTCAGTTCCACAGCTCCATTCTGTTGTAGAGGATTTGGGTCTCTAAGACCATCAGATGGACATTTCAGAGAATCAGCATCTGGAATGAGGTCTGGGGAGCCTTATGTCAGACTTCAGGCTGTCCTCATTTTGTTCCAAATCTCAAAGCATTTGGGAGGTATTTTTATTATAAATTGTTTCCTTATTTGAGAAACAGATTTCCTTAAATCTCTTTCAATCTATCAAGTCGATTTTTCATTCTATTTATTGTCTTTAGTCAGTTTCAAGGGAGAGGATAAGAGTAAAAATGTCATGTCAGATTGTATTTGCATTCTGTTAATGTTTAGTAATATTTCTAAAAATGCACTATACCATGAAATGTTAACAATTGCCCTTATTAAAGAATTGAGTTACTCAGTGCACTTAAAATATAGTTTTACTTTTCATAACTTTATTCACACAATTTTCTAGGGACTGAAATGTAGCTAATAAAGACCACTTATAAGCTGATAGAAAAGAATACCACCCAATAGTCGCAAAATGAAAACCACAACACCTTCTGTGATAAAAAAAAAATTATTGGCTCTATACAAAAAATATTGTTGCCTATTTCTAAATTTATTTTCCTTTTATACAAGCATATTCACAATAAAGGTGTTAGTGGTAAAAATAAAAGCAATAATTGTTAGGATTCAGAAAAACATTTTCACACCCCAACACAGTCTAGTCTCTTGAACCTTGATTGGCAAGTCGAATAGACCCATGTGAGTTCAGCTTTTACTTCCTACAATGGGGCTAAATCTGAAAATTGTTCCTTCAGACAAAACCATCTGCACAGGCATTAGACAATCTCTAAAGTCCCTCAAACACTAAAACTCTACAATCCAAAACTGTACCATCATTTGCCTGCAAGGCTTAATTTATGCCCAGTGTTTGTAAAAGCCAATAAAAAGCAAGTAGAAATTTTCAAACTACATTTTTTTTAACTTAAACGACTTGCCACACTTATTTTCCATATTGCTTCATAGTGCTGTCTTATTCCTTTCCATGATTCAAATCTTCCCGATTTCTAGAAAGCCTGGAGTCATGTATGTGCTCAGCAAGAGTACATGGGCCTTGATGTCTTCCAGACTCTACAGTGGTGCCCCCTTATGCACGGTTTTGCTTTCTGCAGTTCCAGTTACGTGCAGTCAATTGCAGTCCAAAAGTATGAAATGAAATGGTCCAGAAATAAACAACTCATAACCTTTAAAGTGCACGCCGCTTGGAGTAGCATGATGATCCCACGCCGTCCAGCTCTGGATGTGAATCACCCCTTTGTCCAGCGTGTCCCGCCCATTAGTCACTTAGGAGACTAGCAGAATCACAGTGCTTGTGTTAAGTAACCCTTGTTTTACTTAATAATGGTCCCAGAGCACAAGAGTAGTGATGTTGGCAATTCAGGTATGACAAACAGTGCCTCCTTTAAGTGAAAAAGTGAAAGCTCTCGACAATAATAAAAAAAAATCACATGCTGAGGTTGCTAAGACCTATGGCAAGAATCTTCTATCCACGAAATTGGGAAGAAAACAAATTTGGGCTAGTTGTGCTGTCGCACCTCAAGCTGCAAAAGTTAGGGCCACGGTGTGTGGCAAGTGCTTAGTTAGGGTGGAAAAAGCATTATATTTGTAAGATACTTTGAGAGAAACCACATTCACATAACTTTTACTAGAGTATATTGTTATAATTGTTCTATTTTATTATTAGTTGTTAATCTCTGTGTCTTATTTATAAACTTTATCACAGGTATGTATAGGAGAAAACATAGTATTATGTGAGGTTCAGTACTGTCTGCGGTTCCGGGCATCCTCTGGGGGTCTTGGAATGTACCTGCCGTGGATAAGGGGGGATGACTGTATCTTGTTTTTTGTATTATATTTACCAGGGCATCCAGTCGCAAGTTCAGAAACCAAAAAGTTTATGTGCAAGTTTATGCTTAAGGAACCAAGCAATGGGTGGGTAGTGGGGCTTCAGGAATGACTGTAATCGGTCTTAAAATCCTTCTGAATTCTGTCTCCGTATCTTTATACTCTATTTAGTTCTTCCAAATCAGCTTTTTCCAGATGACAGAAAAATGTAACTGTGGAGAGCTCCCATGCTGAGACTAGCTCTTTGTTTCAAATGTTTAAAATCTCAGTCTCTGAGTCAATAATTCAATTTGCGCAAAGTACTCTCAGCTCCATTTCGAATATCATACAAGTGAAAGCAGTATCTCCTCCAAAGAAAGGGATGCTGTATTCAAAATCAAGGGGAGAGGGCATACTATGCCTTTTCTCTTAATCTCACGTGCCTAATTTACATCACATCCATCACCACAAGGTGCTTTTGAGAAGAGTAAATCAGCAGCTTCCATTTAAAGAAATCTACTCTATGGCAAGATAAGGTACTTTATATAAATCATTTCAAATTCTCCCAATAATCCTGTGAGGTACGAATTATCATCTCACAGTTCCAGGTAGAAAGAAAAGACTCACAAAGGTTCAGCAAATGTCACATAGGTCTAGAACTCTGAATGCTTTTATTTTACTATTTACATTGTTTCTTTTATTTGGAAAACTCAAAGTAATATAAAATAATTTCCATCATACTCTGCAATCAGCATATGCTGAAGTTAATGAAAAATAACCAATAAACTGACACAACTGGCAATACTATTCTTTATTTTCTTTTTGAGGGAGAAGCATGCTTTACAGCACCTGTAAACAAGTCAGTGAAGTATACTGTTTTGAGTTTCTCCATAAATATATATTATTATTTTTTTGGAATGTTAGAATACCACAACACCAACTGCATTACAGAACAGTTACTGAAGGCAAGTCAGGCTACAACAAGGATAAAATTTTATGGCTAAAAATATTCATAGCAGCAACTTTTAAAAGATGATTTTATTAAATCAAGTCATTGCACTTGGTCATTTTATTGCTACAGCAAAACAAGGCCATTAAATTTTAACACTTCTCATTTCTGATTTGAACTGATTGTCTCATTCTTTTCATACATTTCAAGTTTAAATGCAAGCATAAAATGTTTACCAACACATCTAGAGAGCACTTGGGTTTATTTTTTTCTGTGACCACAGTAAGAAGCATAAAAAGAGAATCCTCTGTTACACCAGGCCCATTCTCTCTTCCTATCTTCAGACTTAGATTTTGTAAAGAGGTAACAGCTTTATAGTATGACCAAAGCTTGGTGGTCGCACGCACACACACACAATACTCCTAATATTGAAATATAATTAGGAAAATTAGTAATATTATGTTTTTCAAAGAATAGCAAACATTCACTACCAATTTGGCAATGACAGATGCCATGCTGTTCACCTCTACTCTGTAATTTATACTCATTCACTAAAAAAAAAAAAAAAGATTTACCCCCAAGTAAAAGCTATATAATTACATAGCATTTTATGATATGAACTTTATAAACAGGAATTAATAAAATTCCTATATCAAGAGCAAATACTGGTAAATTGCTAAAGTAATCATTTTTCCCTTTGATTTTGGTTTTCTTTTCTTTACTATTTGGTCAAGGGCAAGAAAATAGAGACACAGTACTTGAATTACTTTTCAATTCTGATTGAGGAGTATACAAGCAAACACTTTAAGTGTCTCTCAGTACTCATGACCATCTTGATTTTATGCACTGGTGAGAAAATGACCAACAAAAACTTTAAGAACAGCCTGAAATCTGCTGGTAACTCCCCTACCCCGTTATTAGGGTGAGGAGGGAGCACTTAATCAGATCTTCCAGTCATAAAGCCGGAGGGTGATTTCCAGGGTACATTGTTTTTATTTCTACCTGAAGACTTTCATGTTAAAATAAGACCTAATTTATTTAAGTAGAAAGAAATCATTCATTTGACAAGTCATTTAAAAACACTAGAACAGGAATAAACAATTTTATTGTTTATTCCTCATCAGAAGAGCCCAAGGACTTTAAGAAGTTAGAATGTACATACTTAATGCACAGGTTTCCCCAAAAGCACTAATTTAAGTTGTGAATTTACCATTAAGTAATTATGTATTGGAGTTTCTATTATTTTCTATTTCACTTTTATTTGAAACAATATGACAAAATTTCATTAACACAAGATTTCAGTATTTTAAAACTAAAATTTAAAGGAAAAATATTGGTTTGGGGGTTTAAAGAACACAAAACGGAAGCATGATAGATGGTACTCAAAATCTGAAAGTCATTTGCTATAATAAAGCTTAAAATCTAATTTTTTTTCAAAAAAAGATCAAATTTTCTACTTTCAATATAAACCCACATATTTTGAGACATATTATCTGTAGATAACATTTTTAAAAGTTCAATTGTTCATAAGTGACCGTGACGAAACTGCTATTCACCCACTTTGTGAAAATGCATTTTGAATATGGCCAACTATTTGGTTTTAAATAAGCTGTGATGTTACGTTTTGTGACCTACTAAACACTCTTTATAAAGCTGGTTACCTAAATGACAGCCCCAAATATCTCCACCAGTTAGTTTAGTCTAGTAGGTAATTTACACAATGTAAAACCTGAGTATTTACATAATGATAACTTGTCAAAGTATGAAACTGCATACTGAAGTTCTGAAAGTTCTGGAGTTTTGTTTTTCTAACATTATCATTATTAAAAATCAAATGGAGGGGCATGAAGAATTAAATCACAAGATTATGAAATGAGTAATATTTGAGCCTGTAAAATAAACAGAAAAGTACGGCAATAAGGCTGGTGTTTGCATATTATATGTGCTGTAGTTTCTAGGCACAACAAGTTAAGGGTTAAACTGACATTTTTAGTTCCTTAGACCTAATGAATTTAAAATATAGCTCATATTTTCCCCAATATATTTAACAATCCAATACATTTTAACTAAATTCCTTTATGAATCCTATAGTGCAAGCAATAAAAAAATATTCCAAAAGTTGAAGAAATTATTTTGATTAGTTCATTACAGTTATTACTATATGCATGGGTGAGTAATCTGGTTTGTAGCTAGGAAACTCCTATTTCATCACCCAGAGTATCACAAACTGCAAACAAACAGGCACATCAGTGTAATCCTGGGTAAGAAGCTAAACATAAAAAATATATATATACAAAGTTGATATCCCTTATGTTTTATGGGAAAAGTAGTGACTATAGTTACTATAAAGCTAAACTGTCCCTCTCAAATGGTATATTTTACAGATTATTCGTAAAGATATCACCATATTTATAGTATAGATCTCTTTAAAAATAATACTACAAGTTTCAATAAAAAAAACTATTGTGAATTTTCTTTCCTTTTTATACAGATTCAGTAGTATTTTCAAGCAAACTAAACAAAAGAGTTTGCAATCCCAGCACATAAGAAATAAGGCCTCTTTTTTTCATATTGGCAAAACAAAATATATAAAAAAAAATTCACCCTCCCCCTACATTTTTCTATAGATATAATAGTTCATATACGCATATTTCTTTATCACGGCATCAGCATTTGTTATTTTTAAGTAACAAGTCAGTTGAAGTTCATAGTGTTGCTTCTGAATCCCTGGAACACTGAGAACACTGGGTGCACGTCACTTCAGGAAGACATGATTGCTTTTTTCAGCTTCTCTATTTCCACCTAAATGGCAACAGATAAAATATCTTTACTTTAGAAAAGTTTATTTATTTTATCCTATGTCATGAAGATCTGATCATAATTTTAAGCCTCCAGATTTTGATTTCCATTCTAAAATCCAATTTCCAATGGTGTAATAAATATTTTAAAAGTTCAACAGATGAAAATGTCACAATGCAAGTTCCTAAATGACAGGTGACAACAACAAAAAAGCAGCTACAGTTGTTTCACCCAGAACAATGTTAAATAACGTGAGCATTTGAAAGATCTGTAAGAAAATCAGCCCTACAAAAAACAAGAGTATCCTTGAAACCAAACTAAGAAACATACCTGTACCTATAATTAAACAAAGGGGGCAATACAGAATGTTGTTGTTTTTTTTAAAAGGACCAGTTTAGTTCTGTGTTTTTCACTTACTGCTTATGTGATATCAGTAAGCCACTTAACCTCACTTGGTCTCAACTTTCTCAACTGTAAACAGTATGTTCTAGATTAAATTGCCTTTAAAGCCCAGGAATATATATAAAATGCAGTCAATGTGTTAAAAATAGTTCCACTGTTAGGTAGAAGACATTCTTCACTTAACAGAAGTTCACAATTTAAGAAACGTTAGAAGAAAATTAGAAAAATTCATTAAATTTTCACAATAACTACAGAGTTATTTAACTTAGACATATTACAAATAACTAAGTTGAGGATCAAAGAGATTAAACACCATGCCAGTGGTTCCATGTCGAACTTGTACTGGTAAGGTCTAAGGCTTTCAAGGCCACAGTTTTTGTACTCTCTTCCCAATTATATGGTATTTTGATCATCTCTGACCTTGAATTACATGTAGAAACATTTAAGCCTTACCTTCTCCTGATAGCATCATCCCTCTCCCCAACAATGCATACAAATAATACATGTTATGGCTAACTTCTGACAAATAGATCACTACTAAATGATGAGCATTTTGCTACAGTCAAAAAGTATAATTTCAATAAGCTCACAATCTCCTAAGGGATCCTAACCATTCAAGAATGGTTTGCTAATTCCAGGATCTTTCCTAATATTATTCTTTGACTAATATGATTATTAGCCAAACATGTTAGTAGCATTGGATTGAGACAAAATACCTTCAATCTTCAGCGTGATGCGCTATTATCATCTCTATTCCAAATACATTAACCACTGCATGAATTTTAGTGCGCGAGGATGCACAGAAAACAGAAAGAAAAAAAAAATTGGTAGAAGAGGGAGTGCGGGTGGGGTGAGGGTCAGGGTGGAGAATAACCCTGCACGCAGTCAGTAATACTCCTCACAGACTGCTGCTGGCCACATAAATTTGGCATATGCTTGCATTGCTGGAGTTTCTCTTCTAGCATGTTTATGTTCATTGTTCATCATTAGTCCTCTGTACCACTCCTCAGTATAATATAATACTATATAATGTTAATGTTATAGCAGTTCAAAGTATTACTTTTAATTTGGGGGGAAATATAATTCTCTTTTAAACATATGATCCTAAGACTCTAATGCCTTATTAAGTGTATTAAGTATCGAACTTTTCCCACCAAAAAAAAAATTTATAATACAGGTCAGTGAGAGGCTAAGTAACAGCTGGTTTTGCTGGGAAAATATAATCAAATGAAATTCTTCAAAAAAGAAACAAATAATTCATTTGACTCTTTCCATGATTTTTATGACAAATTAAGTCATATATACAAATTTAGTATTGTATTAGTTCCTCTTGCTAACCTTATTACTTTATTTTCATATATGAATATGTGTTATGTATAAAATATAAGGAATGAAAGTCAAGAAACATTTGTTTTTAATTTTTCAATTTCTACCATGTTGCACACTGGGAATTTAACATATATTTAGAAAATATATTTTTAATATCTATCTTCTAACATTTATTAGTTTGACAAAAATTTGTTAGCAATCTAATATGTATATAGCACTGTGCTAGGAGCTATGGGCAAAGATGAAACAGAAAAAGATCCCACCTCCAACAGTATAGAAGATGGGCAAAATAAGTACATAATGTGAATAGTGATATGAGAGAAAATTATTACTTATTCATCTCTTACAAAACTAAACAACATGAATTTGAAATAAGAAAAACTGCTTTTAATCAGAAGACTGGTGGCCAACTCAGTGAATGTGATTGAGCAGGGCCTTGAGAATCTACAGAACTTGGGCACGATAAGTGAGACAAAAGGAAAATCCATGAAAATACAGTAAGAGTAAAAATTCAGACAAATTAACTGTAAGGGACAATTGAGGATTAGCAAGTGAGGAAAGAAAGATAAACTAGGACCAGGACATAAGAGACCTCATTTGCCAAGTCAAGAAGTTTGAACTTCATTCAGCAAGTAATAGAAAGTTTTCGAAAGTACTGAGCAAGGGAAGACAAGATAAGAATGAGAGAAACAAACAAGCTAAACAGAAGATAAGAGCATGAGAAAAGGACAGAAACAGTGAGAATAAAGAGAAAAAGGTTAGGGAGTACAGCCAGTAGGCCTAAAAGTTAGTGGAATTAGAAGAGACAGAAGTCCCACATCTGCATGACTAGAAGCGCAACAAACTTTCAACACAGACAGAAAATCAGAATCTGAAAAGGTGCTACGTGTGACAGGGGACATGCTAAGTCTAAGTTCACAGTGGAACATCCAGGGAGTCTAATAGCTGGAAACTCAGGACAGAAGCTGGGAGAAGAAGAACTAGATTTCAATGGCAAATGCACCAGAGCTAATTATGATACTCCTGGACACAGGTGAGCAAAGAGTGGGTGCACAGAGAAGAGGCCTAAGCACAACACTGAAGGAACACCTCACTTAGGTGAGGAGAGATGGAGAAGTCAGACAGAAGAATGCAGGGTCACATAAACCAAGACATACTTTGAAAAGGTGGTGATGGTAAAAACGTGAAGTGCTGTAGAAACCAAAGAGACATAGGAGTTGCCATCAGTAAACCCAAAATGCAAGGGGTTAAGGACTGAACTAAAAGTGAAGAATTAGTGACTGTAAATGTATGCTTTTCTTGTTTTTTGTTTGTTTTCTTTTTTGCGAAAAATGAACTGCAAATGAAAAGAGAATACAGATCAAGAGGGCAGCTAGACCTAAAAGGGGGCTTTTTATTTTTTGAATAAAGGGGAAAATTGAGTATTTTCAGGGAAAGAAAGGAGAGTGCCAATAAAGGTTATGTGTCAGGTATAAGAATAAAAATGGAGTTTTGATAATCTGCCAAATACCTTCACACATATTATCTCAACAACTAAAGCTAAACGAGGTTAAGTGACTTCCTCGTTCAAATGGTGTAACTTAATCCCTAAGAGCAAAGGTTCTGGAGTCTGGCTGCTTCTATTAAAAATGTTAGCTCCACTGCTGACTTAATCACTCTAAACCCTAGTTTCCTCACTCTGAAACTGTCAGTCAACAGCAGAGAGTCAAGACGATGACATTAGCTACAAAGTAAACTCAACTCAGTGAGAAATTAAAGCCAGCAAATCTATAGCCATCCCAGTACCATCACCACCCCTGCCCCCAGGCAAAAAAAAAGAAAAAAAAAGTTGAACTGTGAAGAAAAGAGAACTATAGCTCAAGAAAGAAGGAGTGTTGAGTGCAAAAGATCTAAAACTAGACACTTTTAAGAGGCAAGAACCATGTTTGCTTTATTCATGAGTGTATACCTTGTGCCCCGTGTCTATGAGAGTGAGTGCTCAAAAAACATTTGCCGAATGAATGAATGGAATGTGGCAGGGAGTCAACAAGAGATTAATTAAATGGCGACCAAGCTGTAGGGAGTGTCCAACTAAAGCAGGATAGCATAATTTGTGGCGGAACCAATCACCCAGTTGGGTTGGAAAAAACATGTCTAGTTTATGCTGACTACAATCTCGATGCTGGAAGAAATGAATTACCTCTAGATTACTTCTCATTGCCTTCTCTTCTTCCAAATCTTTTCGTAGTTTTTCCAGTTCTTTCCTAAAAACAAAGTATTTATTATTGTTAAGTCTTTTGATTAAACAATATATATTTGACTAAGGTTAATAGGATCTGTTGCCTGATATCCCAGAACATAGGGAAAACTTTGAAAGGAAACAGCCATATTGACTGAGAAAAAATTCAAATTCTCTAGTTGAAATGATTCAATACAACAGTTAAAAAACACAGCAAAATCATGGCAAACCTGAGATAAAGAAATTCTTAAGTGAATACAGGTAATCTTCCATATTCAGTTATCATCCATTTCCAAGGCAGGACACACAGCCCAAATAATTTGGGAAAATGAATGTGAAAATATGTCACAATGCAAGGCAAATTATAATTTTTAATACAATAACCTGGACTTTACATATCTTTCTCTGTTTTTTTTTTAAATTAACTATTACATTAAAATCCAAACCAATAAACAAAAAACTGCAGCCAACAATCCCTCTTCTGTAACTCATGTTTTCATTTTTCTAGGTTCCCTTGTATATTTTTATATAGTCATTTTCCCCTCCATTTCATTTTCCAAGAGGAACTCAAGACTTTTAAAATACTCTTTGGAAAGAATTCTAAAATATCTGATAAATAATATATGTAAGTCAATATTTTTATTCATTCTACAGCTTATTTAAGAGCACCTATGGGCAATTTGTATGTGGATTTATTCTTTCATTATAGCACACTTGGTATCAAAAATGCAAAATGTCAAAATTAACAAATCAGATTGTTCTCTAACTGGTACCTGAGAGATGCTCAATAAATATTTACTAGATAAATGAACGTATAGTTTATAATGTGCTTACTGCAGAAACTGTGGATAAATTTGCCAAACCTAAACCAAGGTAAACTGAAGAATTCAAGAAATATCATGTATCAAATTTCCTCTCTCTATATGATATAAATGTGCACAATATATGTTTTTTAAGTAGGCATTCAAGATAACTTTATGTTTCTAAGAGATGTTTGTAGAAGTGCTCTGCAAACTACAAATACATCATGTTGTTAATCTCAATATTTTTTTAAATAAATAATCCAATGTCAACAAAGAATTGGAGGAGAAACAGTGAATTCAAAATCAGTGGTAACACGGTCTCTGGCGATGAGTATTATACCAGATTCCATATTCCATGAGATACTCTTAGAGGCCAGAGAAGAAGCTGGAGTAGGGGAGGAGCACCTGAACCCTCACCCTCAGTTTAGTTAGATTAGCTGATCTTTGATCTATTTTACCTACTGGGCTTTTGCAGAAGTATGTTTAAAATGTTAACACATTTTAAAATTCACATAATAATGTTTATAAGAAAAGATCTCTAAATCAATAGAAGATTCAAGTTTGAGTTCTAGCTCTACCACTTAAGAGCTGTGTGATCTTACATAATTAGCTTTGCCTCTCTAAACCTTTATTTCTTCATTTAAAAGGGAGGGGACTATAGCAGGTGATCTTTTAAATTTATTTTAGCTCTAAAAAGTCCCTAACTTTTACTTAGGCACGCCCCACCATATACCATTATCAAAAACTTTCAGAGTTAAGAGAAAGGCCTTACAAATCACCTATCCCAACCCATTTGTTTTATAAATATCCAACTCAACCCCAGCAGAAACAGTGATCAAAGTCCTCTGAGAAGAAAACCAAATGTATATATAGATACACCACAGATCCAAAATAAAATGGCTTTTCCTAATACTTTTAAGACTAATTAACCCATGTTTGACATTTCTAGCCTCAAATTATGTGTTTAAGGTTCATCTATGATATAACATGTATTAGTATTTCATTTCTTTTTATGGCTGAATAACATTCCTTTGTATGGATGTACCACATCTTGTTTATCTATTCATCAGTTGATGGACAGTTGGGTTGTTTGAGCTTTTTGGCTATTATGAATAATACTATAAACATCTGTGTACAAGTTTTTGTTTGAACACTTGTTTTCAATTCTCTTGGGCAGTACTATACCTTGGCGAGGAATTGCTGGGTCATATGAGAACATGAGATTTAACTTTTGGAGTAACTGCCAGACTGTTTTCCAGAGTAGCTGTACCATTTTACATGCCCACCAGCAAGGCATGAGGGTTCCAATTTCTCACGTCCTTGCCAATACTTGTATTGTTCATATTTTTTATTATAGCCATCCTAGTGGGTGTGAAGTAGTATTTCACTGTGGTTTTGATTTGCATTTGCTAATGACTAATGATGTTGAACATCTTTTCATGTGCCTATTAGCCATTTTTCTATAATCAAGCTACTAGAACCAATTCTATAATCGAGCTACTACTTTCTGATTTACCTGGTTTGCCTTTTTCATAATTGGGCTGGGTTTTCTTATCCAAGCTTTCCAATTCCTAATTAGAATAACTAGAATTAATAGAGTTTCTAATTATTATGTTTTCTAATTCAAGCTTTTTTGCCTAGAGAGACACTATCAATAAAAATTTCTTTGAAAACAAACTTGCTCATACTAGAAACTTGGCAGATTACTTCTTTACTTGACATAATTTGAAAGAATTCTTTACGCATGTGTTAAGTAGTGCTCAAAGAAGAAAATAAGGGCTACTTACCCATGATCCTTTTTTAGTGCTTCCACAACACACAGCAATTCAACAAACTGAGCTTTAAGCTCATCCAAAGAATTTTCTGTTTCTAGCTTAGCTTTGATTTCTAATGGAGTTAGAAAAGCAGCTGTATTTGGTTTAGAAGCACTTGAAGGTGTTGAAAGGTAAACAGACGGCTGAAAACATATAATAAACAGAAAATTTGTATTTACATTTAATATTACATTATAAATTCAAAAGATTTTTACTGCAAGGAGATAAATAACTGAAGTAATACTTCCAAGATAAATAAAAAACTTGAAAATCCAAAAAGCAGTTTGACGTTCATAACTGGAAAAACCACTAAACGACCAAAGAATAAACTTGTAATTACTAAGGGTTTTTGTGAGAAATGTCAAGGGCTTTATTTAAAAAAAAAAAGAGAGAGAAAAGAAGATCCATTAGATTTATCTTATGGTTTACCTAGTGGAACATCTAGAAGCAAGAATATAAAAGCATTATTAAGGTACTGCTTTGATCCTTCATATTAAATAGTTATTATTTAGAGTATCCAGAGAGCTCCAATTAAAAGCAATTATGAAGGATTTAGTAAGTCCATAGAAGAGGCATTAAAATGGATCCATGGCCTGACATTCTTTTACCATTTCACTTAGGTAACAGCAAGTAAAATTTCAATAGACTGCTAACAGCTGAGAGAATTCAGATTAAGTGTATCTGATAAAATGAATAGCAGTCAAATGCCTTGAAATGAATTTGAGGAACAGGCATGATCTTCTCAAATATAAGATGTGTGTCAGTTGTGGTAATACTATCTTAAATTAAAATGGCAAGGGCTTAGCAAAGACTCTTAACACCACGTAATAGACGGAAGAATCCATGTATTCTACCATTCATTCCAGTGTGTATTCAGTGCTTATTATGGTGCCAAGCACCAAGTTACATAAGGAGTAAAAGAGTGATGGCTTCTGCCTAAGGAGTGCATGTTTAACAGGAAATGAAACAAATGTATATAGATCTATGCCTTAAAAAATATGAAACATGTAACATTTGTATTACTCATTTAAAATAATGTGACTCTCCTAAAAAAGATCTACAGAGAATAATGTAACTTAAGTTTAACAGTAATTATTTTATTTTATTTAGTTTTAGTAGGAATTATTTTATTTCCTGGCAGAAGAAATAATTCTTCCTGAAGGACATGTTAAATTCCACAATTTTCATGTTCACAAAGAACCCTACAAATTATACAAATCTTAGACCAAAATGCACCTTACCTTTGGAGAGTAGCATGAATCCTTCTTAAATTCAGATGGCTTTAGGTTGGCACTATCATCTTCTTTTGGTAACTTCAGGATTTTTTCTGGGCTTTGAGTTGGCTGAATGATTTTTTTTTTAAATCAAGAAACAGAAAACACCAAAGAAAGAAAAGGCAGTAAGCATCTGGATAATAATGTAAGTAACTTTTATCACTGTTTTCAGCAGATACTGTTCCAGATATTCCATTATTGTTAACAGGATTTTACATAATTTCACGCTGAATAACACACTTGCATATCTTGAGGGCGGAAAAACAGCTTGCCTATTAGCAACAAAAATTTTCCCTACTTAGGTAATTTAAAAGCACAATAGTACTTAAGAGCTAATGTATTAACACTAAAGTACTACCCGTATCCCAGGCAATATACTGAGAGCATAAAAAGAAGTTACACGTTTAGAGACCAGGATTAGTACTACAAAAAACACTGACTATTTCAGGGGGAAAAAAATGTTCTCATTCTTTCTTGAAGTGAATATGTACAACTCAATTCTAATTACTGCTTTTGGACAAGTATATTGCACAGGTCCCCTGTCCCCTCTCGACACTGTGCTCTGTGGTTATGGTCTTAGGACAACTCTGCTTCTGATTCTGTAACCTTCCATTCCACGTCCTGTGGAAATGAACAGGTCTCTTCCCCATATCTCTTAAATACAACCCTTGGCCACTTGAGTACAGTTATCTTCCTGATTTTTAAACTTCAGTGGAGCTATAAATCCTCCCTCATTCTTATCTTCAGAAGGACTCTGGATTTACTAAATTCTCTGTGTTTTATAATACTAAATGTAACTCACAGAATGTCCACCATTGAAGCGGCCAGGCAACCTTCTTCCAGGCATCTTCGGTCTATTTGCAGTGAGATGTAGCAAGTTTTCTGATGAAGCTATGTCATCAAAATTTACAAGATCTGGAGAATAAAAGTAAACATATCTATTAAGAGATAACTGCACATTTTAAAGGGCAAAAAAGAACATCTCTGATTTTTAACAAACTATAAAATTAAAAAGAACACCACCAAGACTCACAAGTTGACCTGTGCTTTTCATATGCATTTGGAAAACAACACTCACCCTCAAAAACTAACATCCTCTTTACCTGATACATTTTATATATTAACAATATAAAGTTCATGTTTTTAACAGAGACTTAGACCTCAACAAAAGTTCTTACTGAAAGATATAAATCTGTACCACAAGTTGTAGTAGTATGAAAAAGCAGTCATCTTAAGTTCTTGCTTATAAAAAAAAATGATCTACTTCTTCAACTCAGAATTAATTACAACATATCAAAAAACTAACTTATGAAATGTGTTTTAAAGTTCAAGTAATATCCTAATATTAAAAATTTTTAAACTCAATTTTATCTGGGACCCTGCTGCTTTCCAATTGCGTTTCTTAATGTAAAGTGAAAGTGTAATTTAATGTGTCTTCATATATGTATGTGCATAGTATACTGTAGCTGGGACTCGACCTGTTTATAGTTCACTGTACTTCTGCTTAGACATTATCATGTGTAGGAATCAGACGATAGTTATAAATCTAAGGCAAATCAGATACCAAGGGAAAATGCTACATAAATCATCCATTTGCTTCCCCACCATCAAAGGCTGGTTGACCTTTGATCCAATAACTTGAGTTTAAGGACAAATCTAGGTAATTTCTATCTCTGAAACAATAGTATATAATACCTTCCCTTTTTCTAGATGGTCCAGAAAACCTTGCTGAAGGAGTTGGTCTTTAATTTTGAAGCACAGATATCTATAAGTGGTAATAAGAACCCTAAGGTTAATTCCTGGCACTTCCACTATCAATATAATTTTCCTTTGGCCCAGGTTCCAAACTAAGATTATTAATCACAGTCAATATGCCGTCACTCGTTATGGCAGCAGGTATCTTTTGCCTTGTCTTCCAGGTATGGAATCATTCTTCACGTTGCCATTGCTTGGAAGTTTATAATGCTTTCTGTCAAATATTTAGATGTCCAAACTCAGAGAATTGTTCTTTCTTAAAAGAAATCTAAAGATACTTATCATTACTGCCCTTAAAGCTTACTCATCAAATTTCATATTCAAAGTAATTTATTTAGAGAATTTTTTTTAAAGGGATGGAGGACACAAAGGTAAAACAGGAAGAGGTTACCACTAACTGGCAATATACATTTTGTAACAACTGTAAGTATTTGTTGACCTCTGTTAATTCTTTTCCATCTTCACATTCTGGGATTACTTTGTATGTTCTATCTCGGATCTAGTCACTAGGCTAATATACCACAACAGGCAATCTAATGGGCTTGGATTAATTTTTGTGTTGAGTTGTTCAATAATTGTCTATAAATAATTATAATATACAACAAACCACAATAAGAAACACAGTGGCTTTAATGGAGAATGCATTATATAATGTGAAAGACCTTGAGCTTAAACATATATTTAAATATCTCATTTGTTAATTTCATAAACAAAGAAAACAATATTTTAAAAGATGTTAAAAATATGCTATAGTTTGAAGGGTTAAAAATTGTTTTTTACATCGATAAATATGTATTGACAACCTACAAAAAAATCCTTGAAAAGTACAGTCCATTTTGGCCTGTGGAGATTATTTTCAAATGCATATTTAAGCAACTTTTAAAAAGAAAAAGAAACAAACAAAAACAAAGGAAGAGATGAAGATAAATTAAAAGGGTAAATAAAAGGAAGATTTACAAAATTATACACCATGCTCATGTAAAAATGTCTTCTGTATGTCCAGTTTGGGGCCACAACACCAAGACAAGTAATTTTGCTATTCTAAAACTCTCTCAGGTCCTCCACTTAAGTCATTAGGTTAGTAAAATGAAATAGTGCACATTTCTGACTCATGATATACTTGAATGCTTTTAAATTTACCTACGAGTGGTATCAGTGGATTTATATTTTACACACGGCATAAAAGGCATGACAATCACTTAACTCTTGCCATCACATTGTCACTCTGCCAGCCATTTACATGTCTACACATTGCCTAAGACATGGAATTTTAAAATATCAAAATAAATATAAAACTTTGGGAGAAAAAACCTGACTTTCATGGTTGTCAACTAAAATAACCTTGTATCAAAAGAATATTTTAAACTATCAGGAAAAAATTTCCAATATGAATTTCATTTTATTTTAAAATGGAAAACCAAAAGGGTTAGAATAGACAGACAAACACGTACACTTTAGTAAAATTACAAAGAAAAATCAATGTGCACCACCTATTCATATTGACTATATTATTTTTATTTCTTTTATAAATTGTCATCTTACCAAAATGGAGAAAGGTAGGATAATTTCCTGACACGTAAGAAGGGAAACATGGCAAACAGGCTAGGAAACAAAATCTGGAAAGAAAAGTCAAGGATAGGAATGTCTAGAAAAAAGACTAAACCAAAAAAATTATTTTACAAAGCAGGAAAAAGGAACAGTTGTAGAATGAATAGAACCATTTTAATGTTTAGCAGATATTGCAGTTTATCTAAACTTACATTAAGATGTGTATTAGATTTTAGATTTATTCTTTCATCTTCCAAAAGGAAAAATTATGATTAGTATTAATTTCAATATACATTAAACTAGAAAGAAGTCTTTTTTAAATTACTCACTGAACACCAAGACAACTTCTAAAAGAATGTTTTAGTACTAAAATTAGAGGTCAGAGTAATAAATCAACATATTAACAAGTCATTGATATAGTTATAACTGAAATTAAACCACCTTTTAGTCAAAGTTTTGGTCCTCAGCACATGGTAGTAGTTACAATAAAAGAGGCAATTTTAATTCTGGTATGGTATGATAGGAAAAAAAATATGCCAAATATTATTTTTAAATATCCCACTATAAAAATACAGTAGTGCCTTAAGTGATACTCTCTATAATGATATTATCAAGGAAATTATTATTAGAAAATAAAAATTTTAATTACTGCTCTTATTTCCCAGGTAAATTCTACCTTTTGGGGTATGGTATTTTGTTTTGTTTTAATACTAGTTTAGATACAGGCTCGCTTTTTATAGTGTCTACCACTCAACAGGTAAACATTGTATTCAAAAAATCTCACCATAAATTCTTTCTGGAAGAAATAAATGAATAAATATTGGGAAATTAATTCAAACAAAATAGATCAATTATTAAATAGAAGTGAAGAGAAAGAATGTTGCCCTATTTAACAATGAAGGTTTTCAGATCAAATAATGTATCTCTAAAAATTTCCTTTAATCCAAGAAGAATTTATCACAAAAGATAATGAAAAAGGATAAGATACTACACTCTAAGAATACTTCATCAACTGTGCTTTCTTAATGAAATAGCTATGTTTCCACTAAGTTTTCTGTCCTGTAGTTTAAAACTAATTGTAAACCAATTTTACTTCCTGGAAAATTTACTATTTTAGAAATACCTAGACTATGTGAACTTTACAATTAACCTGTAGTAGCAATGAGACTACCCTAAACCAATTTTTGATGAAGTGTTGGAAAAAGAGAAAAAAATTAAAAACATGGTCTGATAGCTCTGCAATTTGTAGTACTATCTTGTATCATATATGAGAATATTTATGAAAAATCTTAAAAAAATGAAACAAATTGAGTATTCTAGGAATGTTTTTCTTATGAACAAAGACTGTATTTATACACATGAATATATATGTTTATATATGGGTTTGTATACAATCATATCAGAGAGTAACGAAAGGAATTTACATCCTTAATAGATAAGAGCAGAAACAGAGTTAAGAAGTGATTAACAGTAGAGGAGGGGAAGAAGGGAAATTACATTTTATAACAACTTCCATGTTAGGTTTTCTAATAGGTATCATAGATATGATGGGTCATTCAATTGTTAAGTGAGAAAATAAGCAAAACATGCCAATGACCAATCAGCTAATAATTTAAAACTCACATTTTTTTAACAGCAAATTCTACTATATCATTTCGCCTCAAATTATTCTTTTACAAAATAATTAAACTCTAAGGAGATTTTCATGTATGTTTTAAACTTTCTGAAACTTACGTTAAAGGGCTAGTTCCATATGTTATTTAAAAAATTTAAAACTTCAAACTGGGCCATATATGTAAATTAAAACATGCCTCAATCTAATGCCAAATTTGAGGCTGTATCTAATACAGAACACAGTTTTTTTTATAAGGTGCCAACAACTCAAAGAAGAGGTAAAACACTTTTATACTACAAGTACTAAGGACATGATATTCTAATTTTAAAAAAAGGAAATAAGGAATAGTCTGAGTTGAGGTTGGAGACATAAGCTACTTGCTATCAGCAGCTATGCCTTTTATCTTAGCGAACTATTTGTGCCCAAAACACTACTGCAAATACACAGCTGCTCAGTAAATATTTGCTACTTAATATGAACTCAATTTCCAAAATTTATATTTTCTGAACTTTATAGGGTGTAAGTGCAGTACACCAAAGGCAGTGTGATAGTGGAAGATATAAAGACTGAAACTTGGAAGTCAGCTGTTAGTTTTTTGACCGTGTATGTGTCTCGGCACCTCTAAATTACTTCCTTATTTATTTAAACAAAAAAGCAAACTAGAAGTTAGAAATTTTCAAACTCTGTTCCACAAAGCCTCACATTTTTAATGAAGAATAAATAATAGCTATGGATGTAAGACAAGAAATGGGACTAAAATACAAAGGAAAAAGAACTTTTCAACCACCAATAGCCTGACATTGTTACATGGTATTTAGAAATGTACCAAAGGAAATAAAGCTTGCTGGTAATCCTATATAGATGAAGTTTGGAAAAAAAAGTGAAAATTTGTTTTAACTGACTTAAATTATTTTGGTAATTTCCACGACTTTGAGAAAACTAAATAAAGCAAATGTTGAAGAATGATACAAAGTAACAAAAAATACAGAAAAAAAATAATAAGCTCTAAATATTACCCTTTCAGCTCCCAAAGAGACTCATCAAAATTTAAGACTTCTGATAAATAAAGACTGCAGAAAATTGTGGAAATTCAAAAGATAATACCTATGGATTTTTGATATCCAGAGTTAAAAGTGTGTGCTTAAATTTTTTTTCTCTATTACTTTTGAAAACACATTTCTAGCTACATTTTAAATCAAACAGAAAACAGTAAGAACTAATAGAATTACATTTTTTAGCAGCAACCTCAATTTAAAAAAAATTAAAGGATATTTTAAAAAAACACGAAGTTTTTTTTTGTTTTTTATTTAACTAACAGTAAATTAGAACAATTTTCACCAAAAACATACTGAATATATTTGAGTGACTGTCTCTAAAGTACAATCAACATCTCAATTTCCAGAAATTATTGATGACTATGGCTTCATCCAGATCAGGTAGGCTCCAAATACATGATGAAAGATCTATAAGACATTCCAATTAAAAAACTGAAGGAGACTATGCTTAGGTTAGAGCTTTTGTACTGACAAACTAAAGAGAACGAAGAAAAAATCACCTAAAAAATTTGAAAGGTAATACATAGCACATTTTACAATAGAGTGACAAAAAAAAAATCTTAGTGTAACTGGTCTTCAAGTTTAAATGTAAAGAACTGTTAACTTGAAGCTAAAAAGTACGTTGACATTAATTTTTTTTTAAAGAAAATCACAGAGAACTTTATATAAAGGGGATTTAAAGAGTTCTCTTCTGGTTTACATGATCTTGAACACTTGCTGTCTTTAGCTTACTTTGTTTAGATGCAAAATAGGGGAAAATGGCATCTACCTCTTAGAGTCAGTGTTAAAATAAGAATATATATGAGAAAATGCTTTTAAAATGTTAAAAAACTAAAAACGAATGCAAAGTGCTATAAAATAAGCATTACCACAAAGTAATGATGGTGCAATGCCTTTAACAGTGAGACCTTGTATCAAGACTTCTCTGAAGCAAAAAAAAAGAGACTTTTCTGTTTCAAGTATTCCATTTTACAACTGAGAAGTATAAAAAACCAGGAGACAAAGATGATTAATGGGCTGAAAAATCAGTCCTAAAACTTAAGGAATAACATTTAGCTAAAGAAGTAAAGCCTGCTGAGATAGACAGATATATACAGAGAGAGAGAGTCATAAGAAAGCCTATTTTCCAGAATTGGAAACAAAAGTATCTTGAGATTTAAGTGGGAAAATAAAAATAGTCTTCTTAAATATAATCTAGTGTTGGCACTGAAAGTCTGTGTCACTCACATCTGCTTAAGTTAGATGGTATGGTCATTCCATTATAAAGGGACAGAATGATAAATGACTGATCTTTTAATATCCATCTCAGTTCTCTGACCAGTGAGAAAGTTTATGTGAACCATAAATACCTTGCCCATTTATATTCTTTCAGTTTCATTTTTCTATTTCAACTTCAGAGATTTTTAAAAATTTTAATAAATTTCCACTGTGTCTATCCACACACAAATTACATACACAACTTTCTTATTTTAAATAGTTTCTGAAAACTACATTTGCAACTTCTTTTTATGCACCACCTTTCCACATGTTAACTTACCTGTTTCTTTAGAGCTTCTAACTGTAAATGTATCTAGGTCTACTGATTTTGGTCTAAGTGGTAACTGTTCAGAATCTAGCTTTGGTTTTGATACTGGCTCAGTTTCAAATTTTGATAAAATGGTAGAAACGTCTCCATTAATCCTAAAATGAGAAAAATCAAACACATGCAAAAATCATTTGTATGTAAAGCATGACCATCTTTTAACACTGTGATTTAATGACACTAAAGAGGGACTTCCCTGGTGGTCCAGTGGTTAAGACTCCACACTCCCAATGCAGGGGGCCCGGGTTCGATCCCTGGTCAGGGAGCTAGATCCCACATGCTGCAACTAAGAGCCTGCATGCCGCCACTAAAAGATCCCACATGCCGCAACTAAGACCTGGCACAGCCAAATAAATAAATAATTTTAAAAAATAATAATAATGACACTAAAGATGTTATACCATAATACTGATTTTCTTTCTTGTCTATAAAATTATTTCCATAAACATAAACCTCTACCCTAAGACCAATCATAATAAAATAAGAAATGTAAAACAGCTTAACATGAGTATATTCACCTAGCATGAATATAAGATTAACGTTTAACACAGATTACAGTCTCTACAAAAAATATGAAAAGCAAATACTTTAAAAATTACTTTGACATTTAGAAAGGCAGTAGGGCCAATTATGTCAAAGGCAGGTAAATCAATAAACTAACTTCAAATTAGATAAAACTTACTTGGCTACAGGAGGTGGTGGAGGAACCGGTTTTTCAGGTCGCTTTGGGTACACTGTTCCAGGAGATCGCAGTAAATTATTGGCTTTGGCGGGTGGAGTAGGCTTCTTGGGTGGGACTTGTGGAGCAGCTGGTTTAGAAGGCTTCTGTTCCAGCACTGACTTTTCATCTGATTATTTAAAAATATTTACTAGGTTACTAACAATCAGAACTGTTTAGGTTTTCCTATTTCTTAAAGCTAATGTCAGGCTGGAAAGGTGTGAAACAGAAAGAGACACTATTCGTGTATATGTGCACTGTTTTAAAATTATAATTTAATAATCTTAACTATCCTTTAAAAAAAACTCTACTTTGGTGGGAAGGAGGACCACTAATAAGCTTCTGATCAACAAATAATGCCTGCTTCTTACTGTCTTTCCACCACCCTTTGCTTTTAGGGCTGGTATTCTACTCAAATATAATCATGTATGATTTTACTCTAAGCAGAGAACAATATTATCTAGACTTATATCTAGATCACTTTCTGAAACTGAAGTATAGAGAACTAAAAATGAGTAGGAACTCTAGTGCCATTTAATGTACTTATTTAAAAATAATCATGATGACAAAAATATTTTTTAAGAGAAACTGAGGCTAGATTGATTAGTCACAGATGAAAAAATTACAGGCTTATATTTATAACTCTTATCATTGTATTAGGAATTTTATTAGTACCATTTCATTTAATAATTCTATGAAATAGATAAGAAAATATGCTGGGAAAAAAACATTAAGGACAATGTCATGCCATGTTAATAAAAACAATTTTATCACCAAAAAGGCATAGTTCTATACATAATGACATACTTAGTTCCTGATCTTTCAGGTACTAAGAATGGGTGTTAAATTTGACACGTGTGCACACATATGAGATATTCATGATACAGCAGTCAGCAAAAATATATTATAAGGCATATATGCAAAAATAAGAAAGCTCCCAAGAGCAATACTGAGTGCTTTTCAAGATTTACTAGGTCTTTGAAAAGAATGTCTATCACAGGACCACAAATAATTTCATGAGATTTCTTATCAATCAGAAACCAGTAATTATGAATCTTGAACAAACACTGAAGGCCAGGGGCTTCCCTGGTGGCACAGTGGTTAAGAATCCACCTGCCAATGCAGGGGACACGGGTTCGAGCTCTGGTCTGGGAAGATCTCACATGCCAAGAAGCAACTAAGCCCATGTGCCACAACTACTGAGTCTGTGCTCTAGAGCCCGTGAGGCACAACTAACTGAGCCTGCGTGCAACTAATGAAGCCCACGTGTCTAGAGCCCGTGCTCCACAACAAGAGAAGCCACCACAATGAGAAGCCTGAGCATCGCAACAAAGAGCAGCCCCTGCTTGCTGCAACTAGAGAAAGCCCGCGCGCAGCAACCAAGACCCAACAGCAGCCAAATGAATAAATAAAATAAATTTTAAAAAAAGAAAGTACTTGGCAAAAACCAAACAGCAGTCAAAACTGATAAAAGGCCAAATTTAAAACAAAACAAAACAAAAAAACACTGAAGGCCAGGGGTAAGCCCCTTGTTAAAAATATCTGATTTTATCTAACAACAATGAAAATACAAAATGCTGTTGTTTCAGTTTTATCATTTATGTACAGCTTCCTTGGATCGTTTGAAAATATAGCTTAGTCTTTTAAACCCTCATCATCATTTGGTACAAAAATCCATCTCTGTATGGCTTCAAACTGTACAAGCACATCACGTAATCACACCACCAGAAGTGAAAGCCAACTCCCCAATTCTAACTATAAGCCGATAGAGCCATCATTATCAGAATTATAACAGTTAACCAAACTTATTTCTAGAAAATATTAAAAGAAAGATATTTTAGATAAATCAGGGAAAATGTTAAATGATAAATAGAAGTTCACTGATTAAATGAATATACTTCTTTAACAGATATGTAAATAACAGCTTGTGGAATTCCCTGGTGGGCCAATGGTTAGGACTCTGTTTTCCACTGCAGAGGGCAAGGGTTCGATCCCTGGTCTGGGAATTAAGATCCGGCATACTGTGAGTCGCAGCCAAATAAATAAATAAATAACAGCTTGAAATCAGTTCAATTCCTATAGGTTAGTCTAAAACAAAAGAACACATTCAATACTGCTGGAAATCAAAGGTGACAAAAATAAGATTCACCATTCCAGGTATATCCATAACTAAACCAACTACTACTATATGTTGATTTATTATATAACTAATATATGATGGCAGTGTGTTTGAGTACCAGATTTATTTATTTTTATTGAGGTTACATTTACCTAACGTAAAATTAACCATTTTAAAGTGAACAACTCAGTGCCATTTAGTACATTCACAATGTTATGCAACCACCACCTCTATCTAGTTCCAAAACCCTTTCATCACCCCGAAAGAAAATTCTGTTCCCATTAATCAGCTACTCCCCATTCCCTCCTCTACCAGGGCCCAAGGGGTCCAATTTCTCCACATCCTTGCCAATACTTGTTGTTTTCAGTTTTTATTGTTATTACAGACATCCTGGTGGGTGTGAAGTGGCAGCTCAATGTGGTCCTGGTTTGCATTTCTAATGACTGATGATGAACATCCTGCCATATGCTTGGTAGTCATTTAGAAAAATTCTATTTCAGTTCTTTGCACATTTTTTGATTGGATTGTTTATCTTTCTGTTGGTGAGCTATAATAGTTCTTTATATATTCCAGATACTGGACCCTTTTCATACTTCAGATATTGGATATAGGGCTTGTAAATATTTTCTCCCATTCTGTAGTTTGTCTTTTTACTTCCTTGATAATATCCTTTGCTGTACAAAAGCTTTTAATTTTTAATAAAATCCAATTTAACTATCTTTCTTTTGTTTCTGTGCTTTTGGTGTCATAGCTAAGAAACCACTGGCCAAACCCAAGACCATGAAGAATTACCCCTATATTTTTTCCTAAAAGTTTTAGTTTTATACCTCTTATATTTAGGTGAATGATCAATTTTTAGTAAAATTTTGTATATGGTATGAGGCAGGGGTTCAACTTTTTTCTTTTACATGTGGATATCCAACTGTGCATAGAATTTAAGTTTAGCTAGAGACTGGCCAAAAAAACAAAAGGAAATTTGGATTTAAGGAAAACATTCTTATGTTAGCTATCCAAATGCCCAAAAGAAGACATATGTAAGATACAGATGTTATGATAACTTAACATACAGAAAACTATAAGCATATAAAGAAATTTTTTATTAAAACAACAAAAATATATGACAGTTAACAAAATACAGCAAAATAACAAATATGCCCTATCTTATTTACTACAAAATATAGCAATACATTACTAACACTATACATACTAGGTTAATCCATTCATTAATTCAGATTAGGGTTAGTTCCCTGCTGCATGAATAAGAATTTAAAAATAAGTAATAATACTGGTACTAAAGCATGAATGATTACAAGTCCTTAAATTCTGACTAAAAAGTCAAATATTCCATTCTTTATCACTGGTCGTTTGGAGATACATTAGAGAAAAACACAGTACTATGCAAAAAGTAGCAAGTATGTTCTTAACTGAATCTATTTTCCTAATATTTTAGAAAAATTCAGGACAAAAAAAATCTACCCATATTTATCTCACTGAAGTGACTTAAACTGTAATATAATGTATTTTCAAAAGCCTAAGTACAAAGTTCAAGAAGTTATCATCACAGGAACACAACTGAGTAACCACCACTCCGGCCAAGAACTGAACCTTAGCCACATTAAGTTCCTTCCCCTCATGCCTCTTCCCAGTCACTACCTCAACGCTCCCATCCAAAGGTATCTTCTAACACTATAGATCACTTTTGAATATTTTAATTTTACACCACTGAAATCATAATATGCTGCTGTGTGAAACTCTATCTCATTCATTTGTTGCTACGCTATATATATAGTATCCTGGCATATGAATATACTTCAATTTTTTTATCCATTTAACTACTGATGGACGTTTGTGTTGTTTCCAACTGACGGTCAGTGTAAATAATACTATGATAAACTTTCTTATTTGAGTCTTTTGGTGTACATATGGAACACACATTTCTTGTGAGTATGTAATTAGGAGTAAAAGTGCTGGGTAACAGGGTATATAGATTTATTCAACTTTAGTTCTCAAGAGTAGATAAAACAGTTTACATTCCCACCTACAGTGTATAAGAGTTCTGAGAATCTGTATCCTCACCAACATTTCGTATTGTTAGTCTTTTTAAAAATTTCACCCATTTTGGTGAGAATCTTACTTTGGTTTAAAATTATATTCCCTTGCTGAGTAATGAATTTGAATAACTTTTACATACATTGGTAAGAATGAAGCAGGCTACTGAAAGGTACGTCCAAGAAAGTCTTCCCCCAAAGCAGGAGAAAAACTTGTGCTCCAAACTGTTGCTATCATTACTCTCCTGAGGGGCAACGTGCATGGCAAGCACTCGAGGCACCTCTGCGGAAACAGTGAGAATGACACTGCTAAGCAGATTTGAGAAAACCCATGCGGTGGCTTGGACAGCGAGTAGACAGTGAGGATTTAAACTCCATTCTTATGACTTGGGAAAGTATCCCATGAAATAACGGGGCGTCACCTAAGAATCAAGGGCAATAGGTGATTCGTTTCATGTTTTCCACTAGCTCTTTTTTAATCCTCCTCAATATGGCAGGGCTTTTCAAAGGACATACTCTGTGAAACTGAGATCAAAAGAGAGAGAAAAGTAATGAACGCACACACTGGCGGCACACACCGTTTCTCCTGTAAGAAGGCTTAAGGCTCCTCAAGGTGGCCCTAGCCATGGTTTGAAAAAGCTCTGTTGACTCTGGAACAAGAGAGAGATAAACTTATGTTTATTTTTAAAGAAATAACTTAATCTATGCCAATAATATTCAGACCCTCTGACCCTGAACTGACAGTGGCTCTCTCCCCCAGTGCCCATTAATAGGCAATGCCTGACACTTTTCTTATTTCTTGCACCAGATCTATTAAAGCCATGTCAGGTTAATGAGAACATTTTGACAATATTAAGAATTGCTTCCCTTGTTATATTTGTCTTGTTTCACTTATTTAAAAACTGCTTACATTTGCACACCTAAACTTTGAAATCAACACTTTATAGTAAGTTTTAAAATCTTTCAAGTGAAGAGTTTTGGTGGTGGTGTTAAGATTTAGAAATAAGGGGGAAAAGGTCTTTTCTATTTACTCACATATTTACCACTTCTGGCATTCTTCATTACTTTGTATACATCCAAATGCCAAAACAGCATCATTTTCCTTCTGCCAAAAGGAACCTCTGTTAACATTCCCTGTGTAGTACATACAGGTCTACTAGCAAAGAATTCTCTCCGATTTTGTCTGAAAGTTTTCATTTTGCCTCCATTGCCTGAAAAGTATTTTTGCCAGGTAGAGAATTCAAGGTTGACAATTATTTTCTTGCAGACTTTATGTTTTTTTCTTTATCACTGCTTTTCATAGAATTTATGATGATGTGCCTTAAGGCGATTTCCTTTATGTTTTTTCTGCTTGGAGTTCACTGAGCTCCTTGGATCTGTGGGCTTAAAATCTGCACCAAATCTAAAGATTTTTCAACCATTATTTCTTCACATAGTTTTTCTGTCTCCTCTCTTCATTTCCTCAGGGACTCCATTTACACGTAAAACCGCTTGATAGTGTCACTGAGGTCACTGATGCGTTGTTCATTTTTTTTTAGTCTTTTTTCTATATATTTTTAGATAGCTTCTATTGCTATGTCTTCCAGTTCACTAATATTTCCTTCTGTAGTCTCCAAACTGCTGGTAATTCCATCCAGTGTCTTTCATTTCAGATGCTGTATTCTTCGTCTGCAAAATTTCAATTTGGGTCTTTTTTATATTTTCCATTTCTCTCACCATCATGTTTGCGTTTTCTTCTACTTTACTGAACACATGGGCTACATTTATAATAGCTATTTTAATGTTCTTTCTGCTATTTCCATCATTTCTTGATATTTCTGGGTCTGTTTAAATTGACTGACTTCTCTTTTGGTTGCTATTTTATTGCTTCTTTCCATTCTGATTATTTTTGATCAGATAATGGGCATTGTGAATTCTATCCTCTTGGGTGCTAGATTTTGTTATATTATAATGTAAAGCATTCTGGAATTAGACTGATCTGTTTCCAAGGTAGGCCTTTAGTCTAAGCTGATACACCCTTTTATGGACTTCAATGCATTATGAGGTCTTGTGGCTCATGGGAACATGAACTATTTGTGAGTTCCAGAAACTGTTTCAGCAAATGTCTTCCAGCAGTTATTTCTCCAGCTATGGAAAATTTCCTTTCACAGGTATGTAATTCAGTACTCGGCCAAAGCCTCATGGTAAGCCCTGTAGAGCTCTCTCAGTGCTCTATGCAGTTCCTTCCATTCTGGCACTCTGTCCCACAAACTATAGCTGCCTTGGCCTCCCTAAACTCCTATTACCTCAACTCTCTATGAATACTGGGCTCTGTTTGGCTTTCTCCTTTCTGCTGCCTGAAAACTGCTTCTAGACAATAAGCTAGGGGTAATTTTAGGGTTTGCCTCATTGATTTCAGTGGTAACAGTCCTATGCTACCTGTTGTCTGATGTCTAAAGCCACTGTTGTATGTATTTTGTCCAGTTTTCTAATTGTCTAACTCAGGGGGACAAATTCAGTCCCTGACACTTCATCATGACCAGGATTTTGAGCAAATAAATGTAATACAAATGCATTACCTTCCATTTTATTTATAAGATCAACTGACTGATTTCAGGGAATATAAGAAGCCATATTCTTAATTTTAACAAAACCCTTACCTATTTGATGAAGGGGACTATAAAAGAAATATCATAATGAAGATAATAAAGCCAGTAACATACTTCTTACATTTGGTTCTATGTATCTTTGTATGATGAGTTTTTCATGTAGGAGATATTATAACCAAGTACCAAAATAAACTGATCCAAGACTTGGACCTAACAACAGCTATATCACAAAGGACTATTCTGAGATCAAGAAATACCTTTATTAAATATAAATTGTTTTTGCATCTAAATTTAAAAATCTCAAATGCAAAAACAAGGGGAGTTGGGGATATAAAAACTTTCCATGCTGAGCACAGATCATGAGAGAGATAAAGCTATGAAGGTGTATGATATTCAGAGTCAAGAGTGTGGTTGCTACATTTAGTGAATGAAAAGAGTAGAAGATGATACCAAAAATGTACTGAATAATTTGGGATCAGTTCCTGCCAACACCAAATGCTGACCAGGATGTGGAGCAACAGGAACTCTCATTCTTTGCTGGTGGGAATGCAAAATGGTGCAGACACTTTGGAAGACAATTTAGCAATTTCTTACAAAACTAAACATACTCTTACCATATGAACAAGCAATTACATTCCTTGGTATTTACCCAAGTGAACTGAAAACTTAGTACACACAAAAAGTATGCAAGGTTTATAGCAGCATTATTCATAACTGCCAAAGCCTGAAAGCAACCAAGATGTCCTTCAGTAAGTGAATGGATAAACTGTGATACATCTGGACACTGCAATATTAATCAACACTGAAAAGAAATGAGCTATTAAGCCACGAAAATACATGGATAAACCTTAAATGCATATTACAAAGTGAAAGAAGACAATGTGTAAAAGCTACATAGTGTATGACTCCAACTCTAAGACATTCTGAAAAAGCAAAACTATGGAGAAAATAAAAAGATCAGTGGCTGTCAGGGGTTGGGGGAGGAGAGGGATGAAAGCACAGAACACAGGAATTTTAAAGAGATGAGACTATTCTGTATGATATTACAATTATACATTTGTCCAAACTCATGAAATGTACAACCCCATAAGTGACCCCTAATGTCCACTATGGACTCTGAATGGTAACGGTGTGTCAATGGAGGTGCGCTGACTGTAACAAGTGCACCACTATCATGCAGGATGCTGACGGTGGGGGAGGCTGTGCATGTGTGGGGCAGCAAGAATACGGGAACTCTGCACTTTCTGCTCAGTTTTGCTGTGAATCTGAAACTTCTGAAAAACAGTCTCTAAAAAATGAATCTGAAATAGAAGCCAGACAAGGAACTAAAATGAGAGAATACAGTAACACTTTAAGCAAGAGACAAGGATAGGAAGTAGAAACAACAAAGGCAGTAGAAACAAAAGTATTCTGCAACAGTATTCAAGTTTTTACAAGAATATATAACCTAATCTATTAGATACAGCCACTGCAGATCTTTGTGTACAAAGAGAAGGAGGTGTTAACAATAACAAGTAATGTTTTCAAACAAAATCATATGTTGGAATACCTTTCCAAGTTTATATGACAAATATATGCAGTGAAAATTAAATAATACATAATAAATCACTTACATGTTTTAAGTAAGAACTCACTCTTATACCTAAGAAAAAAATTTTAAATGTATTTCAACTTGGACACTATGAAAATAATAAGAGTATAACTGTTTAATGCTTAGTTTTCTTACACATTATTTGAAATAACATTAAATACTACATCCTTACTGAGGTGATGGTGTAACTTTTTCATGAATGTAAACTGGTATCAGTTTGAATAAAAATCTTAATTTCCTATTGATCTTGACAAACTCCCTCTTTGAAATCCCCAAGCACTACATAGTAAATAATGAACACTTGTTAAAAATCAGCGTGAATGACTCAGTGTGGAGATATGTTTTTCTTTACACTGACAATGAAAGGAATTATTTTTCTGACAGTAGAAGAATCTGCCTCACGATATGTTTTTCTTTACACTGACAATGAAAGGAATTATTTTTCTGACAGTAGAAGAATCTGCCTCACCTTTTTCTTCAGGCTTTGTAGGAAAATACTTCTTCTCTGCACCTGTCACCTCAGGCTTTGGAGCTGAGGGGAAAAAAAACATTAATACATTAAAAAAAAAAAAGTTTTAGAGCACAAAGATAATTATACTCCCAAAAAGCAAAGGTTTAAAAAATAACATCAGATGAAAATATGGTTTAAAAGAATGAACAATATACCAGAATCACTGAGCTCAACATATAATCTTGCACCTGCCACGATCACCTTAGTAAGTGATAGCTCTGTGGTCTCAGTTCCTTCCTTATCAAATGAAGGAGTTCACATTCTCTACAATACCGCTGTCCAGTAGAACTTGCTGTGATGATGGAAATATTCTGTTTTTGTGTGGTTCAATACTGTCCATTGAGACTTGAAATGCTGCTACTGCAACTACAGAATTAACTTTTTTATTTTATTTAATTTTAATTAATTTTAAAAGCCCAGTATGACTAGTGGCTAAAAAGGCTCCAATACCAACTTCCATAAAAATTACTTTTAACTTATCCTTGCTCTCAGATAAGGTTAGCAAACACAAAGCTGAAACTATGGAGGAGGGAAGGACTTGCATTATTCTAAAAAAAGAGCAAATCTTTCAAGGAAAACAAAAATTGGACAGCACATTTAAAAATCAGAAATTAAGGGCTAGAACTTATAGAAATAGAGTCAGATGACAAAACTCTAACTCTGGAAAACTCTTCTAGGGACTCCATCATTTATTCCACTGTTTAAAAAGGAAAAACTAAACTCTTCTAGTTTGCTTAAGCCTTATCACACTCTCTGAAGGAAGAGTATATAAAAAAATCAGTATTTGTTTGCGGCATTAAAAAATGGATTGCATCTGAAAAGGCAGAATAACTTATTAACTAGGTAAATATATTGTCTTCTTTTTTAATATATTGTTTTCCATAGATTTAAGCTTAGTCAATTTTCTTAACTCAAAATGCCATATAACAAAAATATCCAAATTATTTTCAAGATTCCTATTTTATACAGTTTGTACTTTAAAAAAAAATACTGACAGATATTAATACACGTGAACATTCAATTTTTATATATTTTTTAAAATTATATATAGCACCATAATATTTAATTTTTGCTAAAAGAAAATAAATGATTTACAGGAGACCCAATTTCACCATTTTAGAACTTAAAAATATGAAAAATAGCCATCTGAATAATCTGTTTCGTACTTACCTGGACCCTTCGCAGGTGGTGGTGGTTTCTTTGGTTTCTATTAAAATAATAATTGTGAAAACAGTAAAACACTTACATATTAAATATTTATAGTTAAAGTAAACTCTGACCATAAATGATCTAAGTTACATAAACATCTCTCCTCATCCCATCCCTGTCAAAACTTATAAAATCATAAGATTCAAACAACTCCACAAAAGGTCACAGATGAAAAATATATTCTATTAGAACAAATGCCTCTTTGATAAAATTCAAATATTTCAAAAATATCACTGAGTTAGATAAATTTAAAAAAATCTTAATGATGAGCAAAAATATTCTCTCCTGCCTTCCCTATTTTAAGATTCCTATGCACCATTTTACCACTCTTTAACAGCTGAGTTTTTCTGTCGGGGGGAAGGAGGGGTGGCAGGGAAAGGGAGAGAGAAAGAGACTTTGTTTAAAAAGAATAGGAGTAGCTAATAAATATATCTAGCTTTCACCCTTGGTTACTCAGCACTCTCAAAAAGAAGATTAAAGGCAAAGGTCTGTTTTTCAGTTTATTAAAATTCTCTTGGGTTTACTCATTCACTCATTTTTGCCTTAAAAAACTTGAGACACATTTCTAAGAATGTGAATTTCGTTTTTCCAAATTAAAAAATAACTGATAATCAATATTGCATAAACACCTAATAAAAACCAAAAAAAGAAAATGTGTTCATTAACAAGAATATAAAAATAAAGCACACCCGAAGGCTGTTGAATTAATACTGAACGAAATCTAGCAAAGGAAGAATCTCAGACAGTGTAAGCCTTCTTACATTATCCTCTTGTAATTTACTTTAAATGAAAGACTGCAAAGGTTAGAGATTTCTGCATTGACCTAAATCAAATATAGTAGACTGTCTTGCTGGGGTGTGTCTGTTCTCTGTATAACTCTTTCCCTCTAATTTAAAAACTCAATTAGATTCATCCCTCCATAGGCGATCAAGCTGTAGAAAAGCAAAAGATCACTGATGAATGACTCAGTGTCACTTTATTCACTGTGAGACATGAGATAGATACATTAAATCCTGTAAGCAGGCAAAGCCTTCTCACTCTCCCAAAAATGCAGTGACAGAGTAATAGTGATCAATAGTACCTTAAAATAAAAAATTTCAACAAAATTAAATAAAAATATAAGTTTTCTTACAGTCAAGTGCTAATTTGTCTAAATAGTATGGGCAGCCTTTTTTCTTTTAATTATAATAAAGTAATAAAGACTAGGTTAATTTTTAGTTAGGGGGAAAGGAAAACAGGAATAAAGCACAGAACTGATACATTGTTTTGTTTTACCATAATTCAGATAACTTTCACCTGATTATATAAATCTGAAATCCCCTCAGAAAATTATTGTTACTATGTAAAAAACTTGTTTTTTAAGAAATATTGGCAAAAGGTTTTTTTAAATTATTATCATCACTGAAAAAGAAAAGCTTACAGGAAAGTCCTTATCCAGTTCATTTATCTGAACAGCAAAATTGTCTGGAAATACTCCTTCTTTACCATTAAGTTCACCCTTCCACCAGCCAGCTTCTCCAGTCTCCTAAACCGCAAAATGAAGAATAAAGATAATAGGAGTTATCTCTAAATAAGAAAAAAGTTAGCAACAAAATAGGAAAATACTGAATTTCATTGTTGCTACAAGGAAAAATAAAGACCTAACAGACTTTGAGATCCTCCTAAAAAAATATATTGCCCACACATTACTTCAAGCAGCAGTTATAAAATTAAGTTTAATTTCTTAATTAGTCAAATAATTTAAAAATTCAGGGGATTTCCCCAGTGGGTCAGTCGGTAAGACTCCACACTCCCAATGCAGGGGGCCTGGGTTCGATCCCTGGTCAGAGAACTAGATCCTGCAAGCATGCTGCAACTAAGAGTCTGCATGCCTCAACTAAGAAATCCGCATGTCGCAACTAAGAAGCCTGCATGCCACAACTAAAGATCCCACGTGCCACAATGAAGATCCTGTATGCTGCAATGAAGATCCCGTGTGCCACAACTAAGACCCAGGGCAGCCATAAATAAATAAATAAACAAATAATTTTTTAAAAAATTCAGTTTACAAGGATAAAAAAGAGAGGGAAGAGAAAGGAAAAGGAAGTAGAAGAGGAGGGTGGTGACAGAATATAAATTTCCAAACTGTATCTTAACATTCTTTTCAACACTTTATACACCAAAAATTAATCACATTATTCATTTGCTTTAGAAGTTAACAGAATCTTCTACAATTCCTTCCAAATACCCTTCCATGAGAAATTAGTTGTTATCAATCCAATCTCCATGTGTATTAAAAATTATATGCACTGGGGGGGACTGGTCAAGATGACAGAGTAAGCAGACCCTGAGCTCACCCTCTCCAAAATTAAAAGTATTTACAGTAGAGCAACTATCAATGCGAATGACTAGCAGAAAAAAATTTCCACAATTAAAGATATAAAGAAGGAACCACAATGAAACAGGCTGGAGGGGCAGAGAGACAGTATAATCAAGACCCACACCCCTGGGGAGGTCATGCACAAAGGTCAGGATAATCACAACTGCAACACATAACAAGTGTTGGGGAAAATGTGGAGAAAAGAGAACCCTTGTGCACTTTTGGTAGGAATGTAAATTTGTGCAGCTGCTATGTAAAACAGAATGGAGACCTCTCAAAAATTAAAAATAGAACTATCATATGATCCAGCAACTCTAATCCTTCGTATTTTTCCAAAAACAAAAACACTAATTTGAAAAGATATGCACCTTTATGTTCACGGCAACATTCTTTACAATAGCCCAGATATGTAATATGTAAGCAACTTAAATATCCATCAGTAAGCATCTTAAATAAACATGTGTTTCATATATATATATATATATATATATATATA